CTGACGACAAACCCCTGCACTTCTCAGCATGTATTAGTTACTCTCAAGATGCTTTTCCTCTTTTCTTTGGCTGTGAATGTTCCTCCTTCATCCGCACCTGCACAAGTGCCTTCCGACACACATGCAAAGCATCAACACATGGGCATGGGGTGAGTACACAAGACATGGCACACAGTTTGGTTCCAATTCACGGACACGTATCAAGCCCCATATGCCAGATCGGTGCCCACACAGGGAATACAGACAAGAATGAAATAATAAGGGCTTTGCCTGTGGTTCACTCATTGAAGGAGCACACAGTCTCCTGCGCAGAAGGGTCTGGTTCAAATAACTGCACACAGTATCCCACGGCTGTAACCCCCAGTCCCAGCCCAGATACAGTCTCAGCGTTCTTTCCGGGATCCTCTGTGCAAAGGTGTCGCCTCCCTCCTGTGCCCCCACAGCTTCTTTCCCATGCTCATTCCAGACTTTTGTGTCCCTTCCTCCTAACCACTCCATTTTAAAAGCAGGCAAGAGAACCAAGCAGACCCCTGAGACAGTTGTCCAGACACACTCATTCTAGGCTCACGAGTGAATAACAAAAATAGATAAACCCTTTCCCTGCCATAGAAGCTGTAAACAACTATCTTACGCTGTTTAAGAATCAGATTGTTTATTCAGGACATTTCTTGATGGCAGAGTAACACATCACTGTATCTATGAGAGGTGAAGTACACTGCAGGGGACATGGCGAACTGCGCCTGAAACTCTCACCCGAAAAGGTCAGCAGTGCTCAGTCGCAGCCCACTGTTACCAAGCAGCACTGCCAGAGCACCCATGTCTTCATGAAAACTCCCATATCCTGATTTTTAAAATGGGCTCAAAAACAAAAAACCTGCACCAGCCAAACAAACAGTACTGGACCAAAAAAGTACAACCCAACACAGTCAGTTTGCAGCCTCTGCCCCACACTGCATGCACAGCAGATGGACCCAGCTCGGAGATGACAGACCTAAGCGAGAGGTCCCTATGCCAGGGCCACAGTTCAGCACGGAAGGGTGTCCTCCCCGCAGACTCACAAGCAGTCCTCTGGTCACTAAAATAAGCATGTAACAAATGCATATTTCGTAAGGTCAGCATGTGCTCTCAGGGCAAGTCTAGAAGATTCTAGATGTTGCTGCTAATAGCTTCTCCTGTAAGTCACCCAAATCTCTAATTCTTGATGAAAAAAAGAAAAAAGAAGAAGAAAAAAAAAGCTCCAGGCAGTGCATATGAAACAACCAATCAGAATTGAAAATTGCCTGACCTACATTTACATCTTTTGACTCTGTTTTTGAGCACCGTGTTCTTGAACCACCTGCCGCTGGCTAAGAATTCTGACCCCACTTGCTGTCTGCTTCTTTCCTGCCTCTGAGAGCTTCCTGTAATCACAAATCCAGTTCTTGTAACAGAAAATACAAAGTTGCTTGCAAAGGACAGGCCCTGAAATTTAGAAAGCTTTATGAGGAAGTGGCAGACCATGGCTTTTTTTAGGTGGGAAGCCCCATAAATTTTCCACCTTAAATTCCACCTTGCCATAGCAAGTGGGAAACCTGCCCTAAAAACTGGGGTAAAGAGATGGATCAGCAATTTTGGACCCAAAAGGGAAAATCTCAACAGGTTTCCTGTATATGCAAAGCCACTTGAAATTGAGTATGTGTCAACACAGATTTAATTAACTCCCAGCCAAGACCTATTGGAAATGGTCCCAGAAAGTTGGGACAAAGGAGAAGGTGTTAATTTCTCAGCAGGAGAGAAAGTGCCTTTTAACTGCATTGGATTATAGCTTAGGGCCCCTGCATTTGCAGAGGATCCATTTCAGGTGGGCTAAGAACAGGTGGCAATAAAAAGCAACAAGTCGGTCCCTGCCAGTGAGGCCAGAGGAGGCAGCACAGGTCCAGGCATAGAAACTGTGAGGTTCAATTTTCAGTGTTCAGGTAGCCCCAGAACCCTTGACTTCACAAGGCATAGCAGTGAGACACCCAAACCCAAAATCCAGGTTTCTCTGTAAGAGTTGAACCAGTTTAACAATTTAAAAATCACACATTGGCAGGATTGCCTTTTCATGGGTGACGGCCAAGAGGCTGGTTGGAATCTGGAAGCCTGAGCTCCAATTGATAAGAGCAGACCCCAAATCAAGAACTTCCTGCACCCTCAGAAAGCCACAGAGAGCTCCTGAACCACACAGAAGCCAGGACTCTGGCACGACTGGGATGAATGCTACAAATTTCAAATTGCCTCTAAATAATGGGTAATAGATAGATAAGCAGGCACCAATTGAAGCAATTTAAATAATCAGAGTATAATCTTGAGAAAGCAAAATTGGGTGTAATTATAATTTAGCAGGCACCAAATCAATTCTATGATATCTTATTAGGAGAAAACCCCAGAACATAGGAAGGAAAGTCTGAGGAGTAGAAAACAGACCCTGTGTATTCACTGATGTTTCGCTGGGAGAAGCACTTAAACCCAGCGACTGTGAACTTTCTGTTTCCTGGACACGGGGACCGAATTGTGCAGTGTAGTGATTCATAAAATCATATAGTGGGCAAGATTGAATACGCCTCTTACTGGTCTGCTTCTCCATGCCAGGGTTTCAAACTCACCGAGCAACCGTGCCATGACAAATTGGGCTTCCAGATAGCAGCTCCATGCAAGTGGTGAAGTAAGGAGCCCAAACGTTTCAGTGATCAGAACAGGTTCCCACCCTTAACTAGTCAGAGTGCTACGCATCAGTCTCTTGTGATCTTGGTTAGTGTGAGTCTGACTCTGCAACTCCAATCCGCTCCAGGAAATGACAAGGGAATAGTATATTTACCAATAAGTTATTTTTGGGGTGAGGGGTTAAAACTCTGATCCTATCTGTACCTTTTATTATACCTAAAATGCTTTCCATTGCTTAACTCTGTTCTGGAAAAATTATATAACAGTCCTTGTCTTCTAAGACTTGCCAATCTACTTAGGAAAATAAAGTATGACACATAAAACAATCACAGAACAATCTATAATAGCAAGTAATTAAGTACTAAGTGGGATGTATCAGACAGTACTGAATTAAAGCAGAAAGAAAAACCATTCTTTGGGGGCCAGGGCTATGATACTAGTAAGCATAATGTGTTTTATTTTACCACTCATCATCATCAATAAAGTAATTACGCATATTTCATCTAATTTAATCCTCTCACTAAGCAGTAGAAGCAAGTGCTATCATTGTCTCATTACAGATGAAAAATATCTGAGAACCAGAGGGCTTAAATGACTCAGGTGAAGTCTTACACCTAGTTGGAGGTCAAACCAAGTCTGACTCCAGGGCCAGTGATCTTTCTATACTGTACAGCTAAGAAAAGGAAGGTAAATTCAGAGAGTTGTGGGGACCTTTGGTGAGGGGAAAAAAGGTCATAAGCAAATCCCTGATGCTGGGGGCGGGGGGTGCTTCTGGAAGAAACAAGATTTGTGCAGGTAAACAGGAATTTGACAAAAGAGGCTTATTAGGGGCAAAGTCAGACTCTCCTTGCTGAGATCCCTTAAGGTCTCTGGGTCCTGCTGTTGTCAATCAAGACAAAAACATCACTATTGTATATGAAGTTATGCTCAACTATTTCAAAGAAAGAGATGTTATGATAGTTACTGTTAATTACGGGTTGTGTTGTGGTGAAATACTGTGTTGCTTACATTGTTCTGTTCTGATCTGCTTTGTTATGTCCTCTTTTGTCTTAATCTCTTTAAAATAAAAAAATTTTAAAAAACAAAGACAAAACCATCCATCGCTGCCAGAGCTAGATCCAGGTACTGTAAAGCCTGAAGTTTGTACCACTGATGAAAAAGAACACAGACAATACAAACTTCCCTAAGATCCTCAGGGAACCTATTCAGAACCTATTCAGAACCCATTTGCTGACCTGCTTCCAAAGCTGTGGAAGGCAGAGGCTCTCTCAGGACCTGATTTCTAAAAAGGATGTCTGTTAACGATTTGGTTCAGCTGCTGGTAGAGGCTACACCAGCAGCACCAGTACAGCGTGAAGGGACCTAGGCGGTTGGTTGTACGATGGTGCTTAAACTTTTTTGAGAGTGCTGATCCCGTAGGGGCTCCAAGTACAACTCCTTCACCACTTATTATGTGGCCTTGGGTACACTAGCGACCTCTCCCCTAGTTTTTCTCACTGAAGATGATAATAGTACCTGTCTTGTAAAGTCAGAAGGACTAAATTAATTAATAGCAACAGAACTTAGAGCAATCTTGGCAGATTGTCAGCAAGAAATAACTTTGAATTAGTAGCATTAAGATTTTCAGTGAGGGGGCTGGGGATTTAGCCCAGTGGCATAAGCACCTGCCTTGCAAGTAGACGGTCATGAGTTCAATCCCCGGTACTGATAAAAAGAAAAAAAAATTAAGAAAAAAAGATTTTCAGTGAAAGAAAGTTGAGTCAGTGGCAGCAGAAACAAGGGACGAGCTTGGGGAACTGGTCTTGAATTATTAAGCTCGTTTTCTACAGGTGATAAAATGACCAGAGATCTCCATTCCTTTAGAGATGGGCTGGAGACTCCAGGAAGGGTCCTGCTCCGATGACCATGGCCCTCATGTTTTTGTAACCATGCTCAGTAATGGAGTATGGAGTAAAGCTATTTTCGGTGTGTCTGGTGCCAAATCCCAAAGTCCATATGCACTAAAATGAACCTGTCAAGTGTCCATTGCAATGGCTGTCTGGTTGCACAAACTCTGAACTCAGTGAACACAGAGTGTTGCATACTTTCTGCTGAAACCAGCTTTCTGGAGGCTGAGGAAGGTGCTGAGAACGTGGCAAACTCATTCATTTGAAACACTGACAATAAAAAAAGCCCTCTGTCTCCCTCCTCCCAGGCGCTACTCGTCGGACATTCCCATGTGGAAAGATCAGTCAGGGAAGCCACAGATGGCAGAAACTGAGGCTCCCTCCCCGGTCCTAATATGTAAAGAATGAGACAAATCACCCCTTGCTTAGATCTTGATTGAGATTCTCCAATTATATTTAATTCACATAGAGCTCACCCTCTAGGGCACCCTGTCTCATATTTTTTACTTTGAAAGATAAAACAACAGGAACATATTTGGCGTTGTGGGCATGTTCTTCATTTCAGGCTCTGTGACAGCTGTGAGGAGCGCTTCGTCACGGTCACATCAGGCTCTCAGGGGCTCCTCGCTTCTCCTTGGGCCCCAGAGCCGAACTTCCGAGCCTCACAGCCATCCACCCAGTGCAGGGAGGGGCGCTGAGTCTGGCAGGGTGGGATCTGAAAGAAATCTTAGATGTTATCTAGAACCATCACTTCAACTTTTTGATAAGGAAGCTGCATGCAGAGAGGAGACAGCACTTATACAGGATGATACAGCTGCTCAGTTTCAGATTCAGGATTTTAACCGAGACCTCAAGACTTTCATGTATTCATGTATGCATGCATTTTTCAACTAGGGTATTTCATAGTATGCATGATGTTCCAGATTACATCAGTGAGATAGACAGGGCCTTACCCCCTCGGTCTTTACTCTCTTGGGGCACACAGGCACCTGATGACAGTTTGCACATAGGCAGATAGCAATGAACTCTGTCCTCTACACCTACAAGCTCTGTATGCAGACACAGTATCTCACTCTCTGTATCTGTAGAAGATGGTGGTGCGTCTGCAACTGAGGCTCACATCTCTAAGGACAGCATCCAGCCATTCCTTTTCATCCATCAGATCTGTAATGACACACAAAAGGAAAACGCACCTTCCAAAGCACCATCTCTTCACAGATAGGCTGTGAAGGTCAAAAAAAGAGCAGACTTAGAAATCAGAAAGAACTGATTCTGCAACTCTGCTCTCCTGTTAATACTCACTAGTTTGTGATGCTGTGTACCAAGGAGTTTTTGTGTTTCTGGCCCTCAGTTTCCTCATCTATAAAAAGCAGGTGATAATGCTGTTTTATGGATTGTTTGTTTCACAGGATTGAATGCGGTGTGGAATAGTGGCCACAACACGGTGACGCACAAACCGAGATGCTCAGAAGCCATCAGCACCTTTTGCTTCTCTACCACCCACCTCTCTGTAGTCAGCACTGACAGCTCCATTGCTGGACCGTGAGATGACATGATGGCGCTGAACGGCCTACTGAGGGGAAGAGCAAGCTGATCACAAAACCTTCAACTAATTTTCCTTTCGTTTTCTACTTTTTTTTTCCTCCTTGAAGGCTAAAACCTTTGCATATTTCAGTATTAGAGTCTGCCCCCTTGTGGTCATGGCACACAGTGCCACTTTACACTGATGACAATCCAGCCCCCAAACCACCCTCCATCTGTGTTGGATTAACCTTCAATGGTGCCTCTTGGCCTGGTCACAACAGATTTTTATCTCAACAGAAAACTTAAACAGGAACAACCATGACTGAAGTTAATAAGATTGATTGTTTAACATAGAGGTTAATCTTGGTTGCACACTTGGTTGCACACTTGGTTGCACACTTGGAATAAACACTCACACCCATGCAGAGTACTGCTTGTGCCTACTCCAAACCAGTTGAATCTGAGCCTCTGAAGAGAGGGTCTGAGCATGGAGAGTGTAACCAGCTCCTTCAGAGGGCTCTGACAGGCAGCTAGAATTTGGAATTTTCAAAACTCTATTTGAACTTCACAGTGAAGACCCTGCCCACCACTTAAAAGCAGCCTCCAAGGAGCCTGGGCCTCTCCAGAGGTGCATTCTTGATCAAGGTGGCTTTTGTTTTCCCTCGAGGAGCTGCTTTCAGATCACGTGGCATAAACGTTGGAACATTCAATACCAGCACATTTTTGTCTTCTGACAGTGGGTTTGAATTTGAATAAAAATCCTAAAGTGATTCCCACATCCAACTAGATGAACATGCTGGGCCATTTTGCAGGATAAGCTCGGTAAGACCATTTTTGGTCAAAAACAACATATGGCCAAGGGGATGGATTTGTCTCACGCGCCTCATAATTGACACAAAAGGCAATTCCTAAAGAGGGCCACAAACATTTTTATTAGTAACAGCTGTATTGTAGCCCATGTGCTACTCCCCAAAGCCCGTCTTTAAAAGACAATGTTCATCTGGATGTGTGAGGGCTGCTGGGACTATTAAAAACCTGCCTCATTATTTAAGGGTCAAATACTCATTTAGAAGTGAAAACAGGGAAAGCTGGTGGGAAGGGTCAGAGCTGGACAGCCCTGGGTTTTACAGACCTCTCTGTTCATCCTCTCCCCCACCAGAATCCAATTTGCCACATCTGAGGGAGATCCTGGGCCAGGTGGGTAGAGCCTGGCCAACCCACGAGTGCAAGGGCCTCTGTCCAGGGGCACCAGACTCTCTCTCAGGAATCTTTGTGACTGGCAGGATGATTAAATATCACATTGTGATTTCTGCTTGTCCTCTAAACCCTCACAATGAAATTCTCTCACACTATATCAGATAAATTCTAACTGGTGAGAAGACCAGACATTGTTAAGCCCATATATTCAATTACCAATCAATTGGGCTTTATTTCCAGCTCCAACATTTTCAAGTTATTTTCTTTCCCAGGTGAGATTTTATGCTCCTCAAGCTAATATGCACATTAACCACTGTGCTTCCCTGTCTAGAATCTCCAGTCTGCAGGATGGTATTCCCAGCGTGTCTGTTGCAAGGAACACTAGTCTCACAGCATCTATATGTTCATTCATCTATTCAATAATTATTTGTTGAATCGCTAGTGTTCCAGGCAGCAATGGATCTAGGTTTTATGAGATCTGCAGCTGATAGTAATTACGAAGTTCTTTAAGGGAAAGAACATAAAATTGTGAATACAGAATTAGCTGTAGGGTTTTGGAACTGAGGGACCTTACAGCACTTTCTCCTCCAATTCTAGGCACTGCCTTGAGGTATAGAACTATAATTATGAATAATAGAGAGAAGACCTCCCCTTCGAGGGGCAAATATTTCGATGGGATAAAAGTCAGGAGCTGGAGATCAGTAGACGCTGGTGTGGCAGAGGGACAGTCCATGGTCTTCTGTTTGTGAACTAAGTAGCCAACGAAAATGAAACAAGTGTGTATTTCAGGGCTTCTCAGAGCCATTAAAATGTGGAAGTGCTCCTTGATTTCCCAACAGGGAATCATTCTGTACCCGTCCCCAAATTTTTTGTTATAGAATTCTTTTGTGAAGCATCCTCATGAACTGAACTCTGTGAAACCTACTTTGGGAAACTGCTCTTGTGATGTTGGATGGCTCAGTACCTGGACATCACTGGTGTGTCACTAACCAAGAAACTGGGTCCCCTTGGTTGGGAAAAGCTTTTGCTCCCTGCACTAAAGAAATCAGTAAAATCATTTCTCGTTATTGTAGTTTTCTAACTCCTCTTTGACTGTTTTAGGCATTCTGAACACTTATCTCATCCCTAACATTTCAAACTATATATCTCAAAATACATGTTTCAGAAGCCTTCAAATCAGACCTTGGATTTTGCATAGCATGGGTTCCTCTTAAAGTAACAAGAATTCACCTTATGAGGGATTCCCAAATTTAGAAATGCAAAATACCAGCATACCTTGGAGCTTCAGAATCATCCGTTATTCTCAGGAATCACAGAGGAGTTGGCATTTGGGGTCCTAAATCTGCCTTCACACCTCCCTTTAACCCCTCCACCAGGGTGAGAAGGCTTTCACATGGCGTCTTGCTTTCCAGGGGTAAGAATTATATTTGTCTCGGGTGCTGGCTCCAGAGACATCTGTGATGGCAGCCCATCCAGCCCTGTTCTCAGGAGCTAACTTTAGCAGCAGATTCTGCATCTGCTGGCGGAGTTTGACACAGCATATGTTTTCCAAAGCAGCTCTTCCCAATAGCTGACTCCCTTCTCGTGTGAGGACATTTAATATATCCTGAGAACTAATCATCTCCCCCTCTTCCCAAACGTTCAAACTATTTTTAATTTCATCCAACTTAACAAGCAGTCCTGTCTGGAGCCCATCTTTGAATTTCAAAATAAATAAAAAAGGTTTTCTATGACTCACAATAGACTTCAACACTGGACATACCAGCACATTTATGCTCACCTGTCTGTCATACATTCCCTGTCACTCCTGTTAACCCTTTAACTTCTCGAGGGGATTAAACACAAGTGACCCACCACTGTAGTGGTCTTTAAATTCAACCACAATGTTTTTAACGTTTTTTTCTCCTAAAAATGAACTTAATACCTCTCCTCATGCATGTGGGCTGCATAAGTGTTAAGCTTCAAACAAAGACACTTTAGCAGAGTGACGTGTTTGACTTCTAAGTATTGATTTTAAAAGGGTCGCTTATTGGGGAGAGCCATGGCATAAAGACACTCTCAGCTCTGTGCAGAGATCCACAGGCGAAGGGCCTGAGGCCACCTGCCAATAGCCAGCAAGGAGCTGGGGCTTTGGTCCCAGCCACGTAGTGCACCTTGTAAAGGGACCTTGGGCTCAGTCAAGCCTTCAGATGACTGCAGCCCTGAGGACTTCTCTTTAACTTCATGAGTAACCTTCTGACAGACACACTCAGCTACATTTCTCCTGAATTCCTGCCCCACTACGTAAAATGCTGTATGTTTATATTGCTTTAGGCCCCTAAGGGTTGAAGTAATTTGTTACACAGGAATAGACAGTTAATACAACCATACCATAACACCTTACACAATAGCCAGCTGCCCTCCCCCAAGTGCTTGTTTCCTCTTCCGTTACAGTTGCACCAATTGGCTAGAAGTATAATTCCCTGAGTAATGGCAGGATGTCCACGGACTTGACCTCATGGACAAAATTAACTTCTCCTGCTATAGAGGCGCTGGCTTCTTTTAGCGCCATGAGCTACTATCAAGATTGCTAAGCCTGGCAGAGGGGGAGGCAGCGCCACAGCGCTCCCTTTTAATCTGTGTGCCTTCCACCTGCCAGACAGTGGCCTTTGCTCACCTCCAAGACCCCATTTATGCTTCTCCAGACCACTGCCCAAGCTGCTTGGCTTACAGAATCATGCTCCCTGAGCCTCTGTGGTTGTCCCTGGATTCTGAGCTACCTGCTAACTGTTTACCTCTACTAGTATTTCCTATAGGAATTCCAAGCAGCATCAGAACTCACACACAGATTTTCTGTTCCTTTCCTTTTTTTTATTTTTAGACAGAGCCTCACTCAGGCCGGCCTTGAACTTCGCTGACCCTCCTATCTGAGTCTCCTAAATACTGGGATTACAGGTGTGCACCAACTTGCCCTGTTCTTCAGATTTCCTTTCTGCAGAGATGTTATACCCCTAGGTTCCACCACTAGGGTACCACATTCAAACATTAGAGAGCCATCAGCTCCTTTCCTCTCTCTCTCTCTCTCTCTCTCTCTCTCTCTCTCTCTCTCTCTCTTTCTCGTTCTCTTTCCCTCCCTCCTTCCCTCCCTCTCTTATGTTCTTTCTTTCTTCCCTTCATCTGTCTGTCTTTCATTGTTTTTGGGGTACTGCAGATCAAACACAGTATCTCACACATGCTAAGTAAGTGCTCTACGAGCTACACCCCCAACCTACCACTTCCTTTCCACCCCTAAGTTGTATTGATAAATTGTACTGTCTCCCTCTAACACTTCTATTCATTAGAGTAGATTCTCTCCAAGACACACTCGGCCCCTCCTGCACTTTCAGCAACCTTCACCTACATCAAACACAAACAAGTCTAGCAAATACTCCTCCACAAATACGAGTCTTAGTAATTTATCTTGAGAGCTTGTTTGGAGATTCTAAGAGGGAAGCATAGCTACCGGTGTATCCTTGACAAAGAAAACAGTCCTCCTCTACTGGAGGAGCAGGAAGCTTCAGTGGAGGGGGAGGCACATGGGGAACAGCTGGCTAGCCAGCCAGATCACCCAAATCAATCCTGGAGATCAACGGAGTGATGACGTCACATCCAGATTGCCCTCACATCCAGTCATTTATTTTATTTACCTAAAATATTCTCCTAATAGAGAAATAACATCCTATGCACGGGGAGACTCTCAAGTTTTAATTGTGATAGCCCTACCTAAAAGTTCTAAGACAAGTGTATATGTATGTATATTAGGGGAGGTTACGAAGCAGCAATTGGTCTATCAATTTTCTTTTTGGAAGGAAAAATGCTATGTTTACAAATCATCAAAACCTCAGCTTTTTAGGATTTCCCCAAGTATAACAGTCCACATTCTCTGCAGGAAGTTGTGGGTGTTTTGAGGTTCCATGGTCATCTTTAGGAAAATGACAGATTTAATGTTTCTGTATTATTGAGCTTCTCCAGGCTTTTAATATGATGATACTCATCTTGAGACATAAGTAAAGGTTCAGATCAGGTGTATGATGTTTTGCAAACTCACTTCATCCTATAGCATGTCACAGAGCTAGTATTTTATGAAACACTTTATAAAATGTTGGGTGAGACCTGCCCCAAAGAAAATGTAAAGTAGCTAAATCAAATATCCTTTAATTGGCTACCTATCCTAGGTTATTTATCTTTGATCTGTTCTCAAGGAGTCTTAAGAATGTACAGGAG